AAAGAGGCTGCTGCAGTGGGTCAGGCGGAAGGTCATGACCTGGGGTGGGACCAAGGAAGATGGATGGGAGGGTCAGAGGGGAGGAAGAGTGTGCTGACCCTGGGAGAAGGTGAGGGCTCCCACCCAGGGTGAATCCAGGTCATCCTGTGAGAAAGCAGAGGGGACACATTGGCCAAAAAGATGTCTGTGCTCTCTGCCTTGCTCAGCCCTCAGAGGGAACTCCTAGACTAATGTCAGAATGTTCTCAGTGACTTGAGAATGTGCTGGTCTAAGGCTATCATGTCAGCCAAAGGCTATCATGGATACTCCTACGTTCAAGAAGTGTCAACATCTAGCAAAGGGAAAACTGAAGTTTAAAACATATTTTAGAAGTTAGTAAGAGTGATGTCTCTCTCGACCCCAATCCAACTGATTATCCAGTCTCGCCAGGACCACTCCCAACTGCCCCCCATATAACTGTTGTTAATGGTTTGGTGCAATTTTATTCATAATCAACCTCTCTCTCTCTTTCTATCTCTGCCTGTCTCACACTCACTCAGGTACACCTAGATACAAACATCTCTATATTTATTTTACAGAAGTGGAATTATTCTGAACATTAAAATCTGACACTTTTTTTCCCCCCCAAATAACACACCAGTGATATCTTTCTAGGACAACACACATAACTATTTCCCATGGTTTTTAGTGGCTGGATTAAAACCAGTACTCTATGACAGATACTTGGTGGTTTTCATTCACCACAGAACCTTAGATTCAAAATAATCAACTGTACTAGTACATAATGCTTTTAATGCAGTTTTCTGGTCTCCCATGACCATACTATATGATGCATGTCGTTTAATTATGCTTTGGAAATAATTTTTAACAAGGCAATAAACTTTCATTAATAGGATTCAATTCTCCAAGCACCAGGAAGCACAGTGGATGGAGCACTGCAGTGGGAAAAAAGCATTTTATAATATTAATAGAGTCCTACATCTTGCTTTGATCCAAAGGTCTGCCATCTGGTGAGATTAAGAATCACAGTGAGCGTTCTTGTCTGGGAAGCACTACTCTAGATCAGTTGTCCCCACAGACTCATGGTAGCTCCAGAGAGGAAGACAAAACATCTTGCCAGGAATCACATCTCACTGACACACTCACTCTGTGCTCTGGTCCAGCCCAGTCCAGTCCAGCGCAACTGTCAGGCTGGGTGGGACAGAGAAAAACAGAGGCTAGATGATAAATAAAAGCATACTCTTCCAGGCTAAGATGTTGTGTTGTCAAGTTCAGGGTGGACCTTCCATCCCAATGAGAATATCACTGTAGGGACAGGAGATGCTAGAGACAACTGGCAAATTTCCCAGGCTCCCTAAGGAAAACAAACCAAACGAAACCATCTGACTCCATCTCATTTATGGTATCAGATGTTTTGATGTCCATTATCAGAGAAGGAAATGGAGCTAGTGGTGGCACAAAAAGAGAATTTTTGAGAGAATTCCCTCAAAAAGAGGGTGTACTGAACATCCCATTTGTTGAACAGTGTTTCCCAAATACCTAAATCAGTATTTATGTAATTACTGGCTAATTGTTAATTTCCCCATTAAAAAGGTAAGTTCCATGAGGGTGGGACCCTGTCCTTATTCATATCCTTGCACTTTCTCCCATCAGGGGAGATAGTCCACATATGAGTGGAATATAAGAAACAAAACAAATGAACAAACAAACCAACAAAAAAGGAGGCAAAAAACCCCCAGACTCTTAAATACAGAGAACAAACAGGGAGTTGCCAGAGAGTAAGTGTGTGTTGGGGGGGGGGGGAATGAGTGAAATAGATAAAGAAGAATAAGAGGTACAAACTTCCAGTTGCAAAATGAATAAATCACAGAGATGAAAAGTACGGCATAGGGAATATAGTCAATAAAATTGTAATAACGTTGTAGGGTGACAGATGGTCACTATACTTATCGCGGTGAGCATTAGGTAATATATAGAATTGTTGAAGCACTGTGTGTACACCTGAAAGTAATATAACACAGTATGTTAATTATACTTCAATAAAAAGAGTATAAATGCAAAAAAAAAAAAGTCAAAGAATTGATTTAAATCACAATTGCACTAAATTTTACAAAGGAGAATTGGTTTGATGGGGTCAGAGCCAGCTTCTGGAAGGAGGAAAGGATTGAGCTAAAATCTGAAAGACCGGCAGGAGAGGAGGGGGCAAAGGAGCTTTCCAGGCAGATGGTGGAGCGAAGATCCTGGGATGGCTGAGCACAGCACTGGAGAGAGAAAGAAGGCCAAGACAGCTTGCAGCCCAGGGAGTGAGGCTGGTGAAGGGCATCAAGTGAGGCTGGGGACACAGACAGGAGACAGATGGCACAAAATCCTATAGGTCAAGGAGTCTGGTCTTGATCTTCAGTATGATGACAGCCATTGAAGGGTTTCAGGCAAAGGAGCAACAAGATCAAAGTTGCATCGTTGGCTCTGGCAATGAGATCTTGTAAGGGGCAAGCAGATTGGAGGAGGATAAAGTAGATGTGCGGAGAACAATTAGGAGGTTGCTGAAGTGGCTTATGCAAGAGATGACATTAGTTTGGACCAGGATAATAAAGATGGAGAGAAACAGAGTTGGATCTGTTTAGGAAGGAAAATCAGTAGGACTTATTGTTTAAATGCAGGGGATAAGGAAAGGCCACATTAAGAATAACTACCTGATTTCTGGATGATGCATCTGCTGGAGCAGCTATTCACTGAGGAGGTCCAAGTTCAGAAGTATCATGAAGTGCATGGATAGTTGCAGGAACTGAAATGAACATCCACTAGCATTTTGTACGGTGCCTAGTGGGGCCAATGCCATGCCTTCGATGAACTATCTGACTTAATCCTAACTGCAATCCTATAAAATAGATGCTATTGCCCCCATTTTTAGAGATGGGAAAACTGAGACTCAGAAAAGCTTAATAACTTACCACCATTCTCAGAGCTGAACATTGGCAGAGCTGGGATTTGAACCCAAATCTCTTCCGTTCTAAGGCAGATGGTTCTTAATGACCAGCCCATACTGCTTCATGACAGCTCCTGCCTACCTGGGGACAATTTCATGATTTCAAAAGAACCTGATTGTTAATCTGGAACTCTGAAGCCAAATCTCCCTAGGTAACCTGCAGTCCTTTCCTCAGGACTGCTCAGAGTAAATTTTCCAAATCAGGAAGATGATTCTACATGTCTCCCCCATTCTTCACTCGCTACTCAGCTCTTTTTCTTCCCTTTGCTTTTCCCCCAAACTGAAGGTTAACTCCAGTTGCCATGATCCCCTCAGTTTTGCCTTCTCCAAGTTCCTATAATACTTTCAGTCTTGGCACTCATTTTGGCAGTGATCATAGGCAGGCTACCCCGCAAGATTTCCATGCATTTTCTACTCCCTGACATTTCATTTCTTCTCATGCGAACTTCCATACAGTATATAGTGACTGCCTGTAAGTCTTTCATGTACTCAAGTCAGATTGTTGTAAATAAGCTAATAAACACAAATTTCACACTATGACATGCTATGGGTCTGGCTGCCAACCAACAGCTCAGTTTTACCAGTGTCACTATCTATAGCTAGAGAGTCTCATTATATGTGCATTTAACTTCAGCACATTCAACTATGTGTTCTTGGTAGAGCAAGAGAGAGAAAGAGCTCACAATTTAAGCAGAGCTGGCCATTATGCTTGCCATTCCCATCAATAAGCACCTGTTCCATGAGATAGGAGATGAATCCACTGTTCCTGCAGCTGGTTCCAGGCCCTCAAGACCTTCCCCATTGTGAGTAATTCTCTGGACAGACTCTGATTTTTGTGTTTAAAGACATATTTTAGATACGTCACAATCTCTAATTTTAGTCAACTGCTTTTCCTGTCCCACAATTAAAGAAACAGTGACTATCCCTAGACCGGAGGAGAAACTGGGTCTGTTGGACTCTTCCAGAGATAAAAAAAAAAAAAAAACTTGTCCCTGCTCATTCTGATAACATGTGACTTCCACACCACACTTTCTTTTGCGAACTACCCCTAAGATACGAATACCATGATGTCGGTCTATGATCCTGTAATTATCTGACCTTTAAACTGCATTTTCTGGGGCGCCTGGGTGGCTCAGTTGGTTAAGCAACTGCCTTCGGCTCAGGTCATGATCCTGGAGTCCTAGGATCGAGTCCCGCATCCGGCTCCCTGCTCAGCAGGGAGTCTGCTTCTCCCTCTGACCTTCCTCCTCATGCTCTCTGTCTCTCATTCTCTCTCTCTCAAATAAATAAATAAAATCTTTAAAAAAAAAATAAATAAACTGCATTTTGCTTTTATTACTGAATATAAACACACAGGAATTGGAAAATAAAAAGTCCTAATACAACTAATAAATATACATCGCAAACAAAGAAGGCAAAGATGGAAATCATTAGGCCTCCTGAAGTCAAATGTGAAGAAAAAGAACAAAATTCTGCAAAAGAATTAAATGTTAGTTCCGCATCCCCCAAACAAGCAGTTATTGGGGATTTTACAATTAACTTTCTGGAAAAGATTCTCCAGGTTGCATGCACATAAAATCATGATACAGACACATTTTTGGGGAGGAGGTCATGTTCAAACATCAGACTATCATTCTGAACCAGCCCTGCTGCCTACGGGGCAGGTGTGTTAATTCTTACTCCCTCAGAGTTTTGTTCATGCCATCCGAATAAAAATATAGAGCTCTACAGTGAATCTGATTGCCACTACCTGTCACTGTCTAGATTGTGAGCTCCCCACAGGCAGGTTCTAAGGCTTACAAACCTCGGCGTCTGCAGGACCTCAGAGAGGGCCTGACTAAAAAGGAGCCCTCTGCAGAGACTAGAGAGTGGGGGAACCAGTGAGTAGCCAGATCTATCACTCTGAGATTCATCGCTTCTAATGAACTAGGGAAGAAAAAAAGGTGTGGTCCAATAACCCTCAGGTCCTTGTGCCCAGCATGGAGCTCCGTTGTGCACAATGCCCTGCCCTTACCTATCCAGAGAAATGCAGCACAGGTGAAAAATCGATGCCGTTGTGAGCAGGACGTCTAGAGATGTCCGGACGAGGCAAAACATCTCCCCATAAACCCAGATGTCTTGAACCAGCTCGATGGCACCAAAGGGCATCACCAGCACCGAAACCAGAAGATCCACAAAGGCGAGAGATACAATGAAGTAATTGGTTTTTATCTTCCTGTGAGTGAAAACGTATAAGGGAGGAGGCAGGGGGAGGAACAAAGGAAAAGAGGAGAGAAAAAAGGAGGAGAGAAAAAAGGAGGAGAAGGAAACAAAGAAAGAAGGGAGAGAGACAAAGGAAAGGAAAGTCAACTGTCCAGTGCATTCTGTAAGACCCCCTTTTGCTTCCACCACACGGCGTGCACGGTCCAGCCGCCCCTGACTTCTCCAGACCCCCTTGCACCCAAATCCCTCCCATCTTCTTCCCTGAGGCCACACGGGCCTGATTTGAGCCCCCATGCATGGAACCCCTCCCTAGGGCCTCTACACAGGCTGTTCTCTCTCCATATCCATCCTTCCCTTGAGGCCATGGTTTGGTTACTCTCAGGGGACCCTCCCAAAGGGCCCTCCTCACAAATGGTGTCAAATTCTACTGTTTTCCTCTCTGAGATTGATTACTGTGTGCCTCACATTTGTGACACTGGTCAGAATTGTGCTTTTACACTTTCTTTGCATCATCCCTGGATTCGTGCATGCCTTGCTTAGAGAGGAAGGCCACAGAGCACGCAGGACTGCATCTTTTATGCCCCTTTATGGCCTGGTGGCTCTCGATCCAGGCTGAACCCTAGAATCGCCTGGTGAATTTTTATAAATATTAATGCCCATGTCTCTTCCCAGATCAACTAGTTCAGAGACTTTGGGTGACTAACCCATCCATGCACCCCGCCCCCAGGGTTTCAGATAAAATAGAGGACTCCTAGTTAAATCTCAATTTCAAAAAAACAACGAATAACTATTTAGTAGTATGCTCCAAATACTATATGGGACATAGTTACACTACACATCAGCAATTTTCAAAAGGTCTTCAGATGATTTTAATTGCAGCTGGGTTGAGACTCATGAAGTGGAAAGAGCAGAAAACACACATTTAAATACTAGATCAGTCACTGGGCAGCCACCCTTTTTCTGAACCACTGATGAAGTGGGCGGGTTAGATTAGATATGTCCTCAACAATTGTATGTATATATATAGTGATCACACCTATTACCAACACTCCCCCACCCCCAAAACCCGAAGTTGAACACAGGAAAAAAGATGGGACAGAGATTGCATGTAAGTGCTTACACTGGTTATGTTAGTCATGGGAAATTATGTGTGATTTTTCCCTGCTCTATTTCACAACATCATTTCCCTTTCATAATTACAATTATAAAGGAATTCATAGTTCAGACCCCTGCTGTCCAGGGAGATCCTAGAACTCTACCCCGGTTTCCTCCTGAGGTCTCCTCCTGCTACTCACCTGAGCTGCCTGTCCCTGCACACAGCCACCATCACCAGCAGGTTCCCCAAGATGGCCATCAGGATAACCGCTGAGAGAAATGTGAGCAGCACGACCTTCTCCACTGACCCAAAACCCTCCTTGGAACTGGAAGACACACATGCACACAGGAACACGCACATACACATACACATACACAGAATTAAAGGAAACTCTGAGACATGGGAAAGAAAATCAATTTTTCCCCTCATTTATCTTCAGGGAGGTCACTTTAGCATCAGCAGCTGTAATACACATTTATTGTGCACCCAGAGTATTCCAATGTCTGTACCTGTCACTTTACATGTTATCCTAGTTAACTCCTACAAAAGGAGGAGGAGGCTCAGAGAGGGGAATTAACTACCCTGAAACTGCACAGTTATTCTCCATCAGAGAGCCTGTGACTTTCCTTCAGAGCTCTTACCTCAGCTTGTGCTCAGAAATGTATTTGGTTGATTCCTGTTTTGTGCACTTCCCCAGCTAGAATGTAAGCTCCATGAGGCAGAGACCTTGTCTGTTTTATCCACTGATCAATTCAATTTCAATGCATCACTCACATTTGTCAGATGAAGGAAAGATGGCACTGGATGAATGAATGACAGTAACTTGAACCAGGGTCTGCGTGAATACAAGGGCCACCCTCTCTCCAGAACCCTATCCCTGCCCATGTGGAAGCTGCTGTGTACAGATGGGCTGTCCAAGGGATAGGTCATGGCTTGAAGATTGTTCTAATAAAGTTGATCTGAATAAACAGATCTCGGATTCTGTGAAGTCCATCGCAAAGACAGCAGCCAATCAATATACTCTGGGGGCTCCTGTCACTGCTCTGGACCCTATTTCTTTTGGTGCCCAACATCACAGCTCAAATCTGTGTTCTTGTCAGTTTCAGCATCTGATTTGGTCCTATAAACCCTGCGCTCCTAGTGCAAACTCAGCATTTTGTTTTTACTAATTTGGAAACAAGTGTCCACATCAATGAAACCATAAAATCTGAAGGTTATTAAGAAGCTATAAGAAAAAGTTTTATTTTTAATAAAGTAGTAATAAAATTCTCTTTCTTAATGAAGTTTCAAAGGATCTCAAAACTCTCAGACCCAAACCCTACATTACAATATGGAGAAACTGAGGCCCAGAGGGGAGAACTGAATTGGCAAAGTATATTAGCTTCTGATCTGGGAACAGCTCCTTGTCCTGTGAGCCCACCACTGGAAACACAGGGTCCCAAGAAGCAAGAAAGAGCTGTCTTTACTGAGCTACTTCAACGGAAAACCAAGATGGCTGCTGGCCCCAAACAGTAGCAGCCCACCACGTTCTAGCTCTAGCCTCCTCCAGAATTTTTTCCCTTAGGCATGGAAGACAAGATGCCAACTGGAACAAGGAACCAGTATTGCAGTGGTTGGAAAACCAACAAGTTCCTCTACTCTGCTGACAAGTGTTTTGACTGAATGATTGAAGTTGTTATGGCTAAGGGTTCATGAAAAGAAATTCAACTTATGTTCATCCAAATCACTCTTCCACACCTAAATTCCAGCTACCAACATGTTACAAATATTGGACAGGGCAAGATTTAACTCAGGAGGAAAAGGCTTCAATAGGGTGATATAGTTACCACGAACTAATTTGATCTTAGGCCATGTGGATGCAGGTAAAATGTCTAACAAAGGAGGTGACAGTGGTTTTTCTCCTTGTCCTTCTCAGAGGCTCTGACTGAGAGCACTGCTGAAACATGTGCCTCCCCCCAAAGCCTCTGTACTTGCTGTGCCTTCCTCCTGGGATGCTTCTTTAGCGGCTGGCTTCTTCTTGCCATTCAGGTCTCAGATTACAGTTAAACCCCATTTAATGTGCCACAGCCAACAAACATTGTGCATTTTCTTTATAGCACTTGTTCTCTGAAATGATTTCTGTTGTTGATTACTGTCTGTGTCCCACTCCCACAGAATGACTTTGGTTCTCTTTTTCACTGCAATTCCCAGATCCTAGCACAGTGTCTCATCTGCAATATGTGTGTACAGGTCTGTGTAGTACATGGGAAGTACTCAATTATTTTCTAATTTAGTGAAAGGAAAACAATGTATTCATAATGGTGAGGTTTATTCTTCAATGTCTTTGAAGACTGGCTGAAGGAACAAAGAAGATTCTGCCTAGAGAAGAGAAGACCCACAGATAAGACACAAAAGCTATTTTTAACTAACTGAAGCACTGTCATTTGAAAATAAGAGTAGATTTATGCATTCATTCATTCAACACTATTTTCTGAGCACCTACTCTGCATTAGGCATTGTTGTATGTCTTATAGAAGCAGAGATAAGTGAAACAGAGAATAGTCCATGAATAGATAAAGGAGAAAAACTATGTAAAGTATCAGCCGGCAATACACACTATGGTAAAAAATCTAGGAGGGAGAGGAGGACAGGATGCCAAAGGGGGATGAAAGGCTGGCTATTTAATAGGAGTTGTCAGAGAAGGCACTGTGATAGGGTCATCACAGCTGATGCCCGCTAGGCTGCAGAACTAAGTGGGACCAGTGGTCAGGTTGGAAGCCGTGGTTCTCAACTTTGGTTACATAGTAAGACAAATACCATATGATTTCACTCACATGTGGAATTTAAGAAACAAAACATAGGGGAAGGAAAGGAGAAAGAAAATAAGATAAAAATAGAGAGGGAGGCAAACCAGAAGAGACTCTTAACTCTAGGGAGCAAACTGAGGGTTGCTGGAGGGGAGGCAGGTGGGGTGATGGGGTAACTGGGTGATGGGCACTAAGGAGGGCACTTGATGTAATGAACACTGAATCACTAAATTCTTTTTTTTTTGTAGTTTTTAATTTTATTATATTATGTTAGTCACCATACATCATTAGTTTTTGATGTAGTGATCCTAAATTCTACCTCTGAAACTAATAATACACTATATGCTAACTAAATTGAATTTAAATAAAACTTTTTTTTTTTTTAATCACCTAAGGAGCTTTCACAAATGCTGACATATGGGCTCCAATCTCTAAGACATTGATTTAATTGGTCTGGGTTTTGCAGCCTAAATATTGGAATTTTTAAAAGCTCTCAAATTATTCTGATGTGCAACCAAGGTTGAGAGTCGCTGCTAGAGAAAGGTAAGATTTAGTAAGAAATAGTAAGAACTTTCTAACAACTAAATATGGTCCGCAATAGCTTCCTGGTGTTGTTTTGAACTCCCCAGCTTGGGACAGAAATGTTTAAGAATACCTATTATACCACTTTGCACCCGTTAAGATGGCTATTATAAAAATAAAACAAAACTAAAAAATGACCAGTGTTGATAACCATGTGGAGAAAGTGGAACACTTGTGCATTCTGCTGGAAATGTAAAATTGTGTGGCCCCTGTGGAAAACCATTTCTCAGAAGAAACTTTCTCAAAAGTGTCTCAAAAGACTAACCATAGACTGACCAGATGATCCAGAATTCTAGTTCTAGGTATAACCCCCAAAGAATTGAAAGCAGGGGCATAGATAAATACTTGTATATCTATGTTTATAGCATATTATTTTTTTTAAAAGATTTTATTTATTTATTTGAGAGAGAGAGAGAGTGAGAGAGAGAGCACAAGAGGGGGTAGGGTTAGAGGGAGAAGCAGACTCCCCGCCGAGCAGGGAGCCCGATGTGGGACTTGATCCCGGGACTCCGGGATCATGACCTGAGCCGAAGGCAGTCGCCTAACCAACTGAGCCACCCAGGCACCCTGTTTATAGCATATTATTCACAATAGCCAAAAGGTAGAAATAACCCAAGTGTCCATCAATAGATAAATGGATAAACAAAATGTGGTAATACATATTATGGAATATTATTCAGCCATAAAAAGAAATGAAGTTCTGATACAAGCTACAACATGGATAAAACTTGAAAACATTATGCTTAGTGAAATATGAAATAATCCAGACAAAAAGACAAATATTGTATGATTCCACTTATATGAAGAGTCTACAATATGCAAATTCACAGAAACAGAGAACTGAATAGTGGTTACCAGGGACTTGGGGGAGCAGGGAATGAGAAGTTATTTAGTGAGTATAGAGTTTCTGTTAGGAAGAGGAAAAAATTCTGGAAATGGATAGCGGTGATGGTTGAACACCATCGTGAATGTACTTACTGTCACTGAATTACACATTTAAAATGGTTATTTTACATATTAATGGTAAATTTTATGTTATGTATATTTTATCACAATAAAAAAAGGTTACATGGATGACCACATATCAGGATATTGTATAGGACTCCTGTGTTGGAGGCAGGTTGAACTAGCTGATTTGGGGTTGTTTTCTTGTCTATGGACAATGATCTGAACATATTCTTAGAACATGGATTCTCCATCAACCACATCCTCATCATTAGAACCATCTCCCCTGTACTGCCTTTCCTCTTGTAGGAGAAAAAGCCAGATTCAGGAGATGTGGTGAACACCTCTGGCACCAGAGAATGTATATTTCAAATCAAAAGGCTATGTCAGGGTCAGAGAATCCCAAGTTCTGTGTTATGGTTCATTTGTGATGCCAATTAGGAACTAGAAATAGCTAAACTTTAAACTGTGAGTGACAAGCAAAATTCAAATCATGAAAGGAGCTTTTCTAATTAAACAGAACTGTCCACTGAACTAAATGTAAGTCCAGTAATGATAATTAAAATAAATCAGGAACCACTTCAGCAAAATCCATTTTAGATCCCTAGGTTACCTCTGACAGCCTCCAACCACTCCGTCAACTGTGACCAGGCAGTCCTCATCTGCACAAAGAGCTGTCCACTCCACTAAATTGGTTCTTTGACAATTATGAGAAATTTTCCTTTCTCTCTTCTTTTAATATTTATTTATTTTAGAGTGGGGAGGAGAGGAGGGGCAGAGGGAGAGGGCAAAAAAAAAATCTCAGGTAGACTCTGCTGAGTGCAGAGCCCAACACAGGGCTCGATCTCATGACCCTGAGATCGTGACCTGAGCTGGGAAACCAAGAGTCAGACCCTTAACTGGCTGTGCCACTCAGGCACCCCTCCTTTCTCTTCATTTGCTTTTTTCAGTTATCTCTTGATCTATTAAGAAATACCACAAACTTGTTGGCTCTGTGTACCATTTTCTCTGC